GTCCTGGTTAACAGCTTGGCTCATGTGCACTGCCCAGAAATCCCAGGCTAGACAATGAACTTGTGTTTGTCAGTTTTCATTTGATTTCATCAAAGGACATCACAATGGTATCTGTAATACAACTAGTGCAATGTGGTATAGGGTCTGTGCACAATGTGGATACACCTGAAGCAGTTTTAAATAGCAGTAGACTGCTTGCAGAGCCATGGGCTTCAGCATGAATTGATTTGACCAGACTCTGCAAGTAGTTTTGCTTCTTGCTGCAGGTATCCAGATTTTCCACTAGCACCTGTGTTCACCTGGATATCACAGAATCAGCAATGTTGGAACAGATCTTCAAGATCATCCAGTCTAACCATCAATGTGGCACCACCACAGTCACCCCTAAACAAGGTGGATGTGTGTCTATTACCCTAGCAGAGACTGCAAAGCACATTCAGATCAAGGATTTTTTCATGATTACACTCAAAGGAGTCCTGCTTGAAGGAAGGATTTTCTATTTTACTTCACAGGGTGCTTACTCTATCAACTTCTGGTGCATCCAGATAGAGGTGAGGGAGCTTGTACAATCAGTCCTCAGATCTGAAAATGCAGTAGCAAAGAGATAAAAAGCTGCGTATTTTCCCTTTTCCATGTCTGCTGCCACAGAGAGCCTGTCTGAGGTTCAGGCAGGTCTGGATCAGCAGATCAATACTTCAAAGACTCTGGAAAGAAAAGTTAGTCCCAGAGCTGTGAAGCCATCCAAATGACTTGCAGCCTCTTTATGGCTTCCAAAACACTAGTTTTTCATCCCTGATCAGTTCCAAGCTGTGATACATTAGGGAAGAAAAGATCTTCCCAGTTCTTTAAAGACTCTGCTTTACTGTGATCTATATACCTGCCAATACCAACAACAAAATTAGTCATCTTTTTGATCCTCCTTAAAGAGACATATATAAAAACACTGGGGTTTGAAGGTTTGATTTGAGACCAGAAATAGAATTCACTCTTCCCATGTGTTTCTGAATGTTTATCCTTTATTATGCTTGTCTACATCACCCATCTTGAGAGGAAACACAAGGTATTTATCTTTAATAACATGCACACATCCCAGGAATAAGAAAAATAGTTGTGAATAGTCATCTTTTTCAACAGAGGTGGTCTAACAAGGAGATGGGAACTTTTTTCCCTACTATTTCTTCTACATGGCTTTGATTCTCAACATAAGAATGCTATGTCAGCCAAACCTTGTCTGTAAACCCAATAGAAAGTGCAGATTAGAAAGCACATTTTCCTAACTGTGCCAAAAGCAAAATCCTGGCATGCAAGTAAAATTTGCAGCTGTGTTCCCCATCAGCTGGTGAATGTGAGTGTTCCATGGGTGGAACACATGGGACTATGAGGCAAAGTGGGAATGGGACATACAAGGATATATTATCAATATTGGCTGCTACCTTTCCAGCAACACAAACTGGAACAGATCTGAAAAGCTGCACCTTCATGCTTTTGCTCAATGCTGTGTACACTTCAATCCCACTGTCACTGTGCTATTTGCTGCAATTTGGAGATGGGCAACTTGCTCAGAATGACAGCTGGAAAGCCCATCTTGCCACAAGCTCTTCTTCCCCTTCAGTGCAGTAAGATGACTGTTCAAGTATGCACAGGCTCAGCCTTTTGGCACCTGTCAAGAACATTAAAGGTCACTTAAAATAGCAATTTTCAATGCATTTTCTGCTGAGTTGGAAGTGTAGGCAGGTGTCTTTGCAGGTTCCAGCACAGGCCATTGTAAGTCACCTTAGTACAGGTGCTTTCTAGGCATATGTTTTGCTTTGGAGCATTGTACTCCTTCTGCATGTTCATTACTGAAGCACTGCACTCAGCAATACTGAAAAGTGGGCCAGGGAGCTGCTTTTAAAAGAGGGCTCACAAGTCATACCCTTCCTTCACAGGAAGATCTCCCCCAGATCAGCCAGCACATCTCACTCCAGGATCTTTTTGCCCTCTAACATTTCCTCTGTTCTTCATCAGGCTTCTCTGTCCTCGTGTCCTGTAAAACCCCCTAATGTCCACACTCCAGTTCCCTGGTTTTCATGATTGCATCCATAGGTGACTGGCAGATTATCTGTGTTCTGCAGACTTTGAAATCTCTCTCCTGCAACACCACTTTCATCTGACACCTGGGACATGCAATGATGCATAAATTTGTGCCAAAATTATAAGGTTCCTACTACCCTCTGTTAAAGCTCGTCTTTAGGGGATGGATTATAGAAAAACTTGCATAAAAGGGCAGATAAATCAGATAAACAGACTCCATAAAAGATGATGTTGAGGGGAGACATGTTTACTACTTGGGCTGATGGACACTCACTGACCACATTTATATTTCCACTTTGGAAATCACATGAGCAAAATAGACTGCAAGAGCATATAAATTTTTAAGCAAGATAAATGATTTTCAGTTTTGTATTTAAATATCAGCCTTTTCCTAATGTAGCAACAGGCCTTCATACATATGGATTGCAAGTTAGAGAGGCAGATGATGGTAGGTCCCTCTATCTTATGGTAAAATATGCGAGAGAGCTCGCTCACATTCCTGAATGAGTTAAGGCAGAGCGTGTCCTACAGCACCACCTAGCAGGCTAATTTAGGAGTGGTCCATATCCCTGGATCCATGACTACAACGATGTGGATGGGTGCACATCGGTTTTTGTGCCAGTGTGGTGATTAGTAAAGCTGGGGCGTCTGTTTTCCCCAGTCGTATTAATTATAAATCTCTTAAGAGAAACCATAGTAAGAATGCAATGCCAGATTTTTGAGAGTTAGTGTAAGAAATCCTTGTTTTCTAGATTTCCTCCATGTGGTGCAGAAGCACCTCTCAAAGTCTGATTTCACAAACCCACCCAACCTTCTCTCTGTATTCACCAGCAGGATAAGTAAGTCTCACTGTGATGAGGGATTTTAAAAGCCCGAGAGTCTGTGTATTTGTTAGTGTGAGTCTGTTCTCCATCATCACCTATATACACAGTTTTTTTGTGCACCTGCATGAAGTGTGAATACCAATGCCAACTTAGAAATTGTAAGTTTTGGCAG